GCTGTTTTTTACACAGAGCTGCCATCTCAGGGTGGGGAAGGGGACGTAGATGCTGCACAGCATCATTAAATCCTTCCCCTGGAGAAGGAACCCGGATGGAGAGGGTCATCTCCTCCCCAGCTGCGAGCCACTGGCTCTTCTCCTGCTTCCAGGAGATCCCATGTCCGCAGGCAAACGTGTGCTGGGCGACAGACACTCACAAACACTCACCATCCACTCACAGACACACTTACTGGCTTTGTCACTGGCCACTACAACATTTGCTTTCAAGGAAGAAAACACCTAAAAACCCCCCCCCCCCCCCCCCCCCCCAAAAAAAAAAAAACCCAAAACACTCCAGCCCCGGCTCGTGCCCCGTTCCCATTCCTGCTGGAGCTGTTCCTGCCGGGCTGGCAGCATCCAGAGGAGCTTTGATCGTGGCCTGGAAGACCCTGCACGGCCCTGGGCGTTGCAAAAAAACCATGGAAGTCCGAGGTGAAACTCCAAATTCTCCTCCTGGGAGAGGCTCCAGCGCCCGCTCCGCACTCCCAGGCTGGCGAAGAATCCGAGGGCAAAGTCACGGGAGGACAGACACATCCAGCAGATCTTTGAAAAGCAAAGAGGGGGCCCAGTCCCTACGCCCTCACAGCCTGTTTGGCAGTGCTGGAAGAGGAGGGGGTGGGAAGCACTTCCAGCCCTTGGAGATGGAGCTCCAAGGTATCCCCGGCGCGCGTGGGAGGGCAAGGCTTGGTGGGCAGAAGCTCTTGGGAAGAGCAGCCAAGGAGGGCAAACAGGTGGTGGTTGGGACGTGTCTGGGTAGACAGGGAGCGTGGAAATGAGGTTTCACAGCTGCTTCTGCATGTGTCCAAGAGGAGGAGGAGGAGGAGGAGGAGAAGCAACAGAGAAATCAATGTTTCCCCCCCTTCCCAGCACCTCACAGTCCAGCAAACAGTCGTAAGACAAACCAAAGAGCAATGCTTTCCTGCCTGCTCAGAGCAGGCCTTGGTCTCTCTTCCAGTGCATGGCATCCCTGATTTTAACAGAGCACGAAGGAGAAAAGCACTTGAGATCCTTACACACATAAATTATAGTGAGAGGAAGGAGGGAGTGGGGAGGAGGAGGGAGGTTGGGGGTGAGCACAGGGCCAGGAGAAGGCTTGGCAGAGCCAAGGGTGGCCATTCCCACCTCCCTGCTCAGCCAGGCACTGCAGAGGGGACGTTGGGGCCAGGCAGTGAATCCATGAAGGCCACATGTCTCGCCAGCACCGGCATCTTCTCCCCCCATGGGCACGGACAACAACCCAAGAACACAAGTAAGGAGGAGGGAAAAAAATAAAATACCACCCCTCCCCCCCAAAAAAAATAGAAAAAAAAAGGAAGCTTCAAGTATGAAGAAGATTTACAATGCAATGGGCAAGTTCTTCTGTCACTTCTTGGAGACTTGGTTCAAGGTTTGTTCTTTGTTGCTGCTGTTTGATTCGAGTCTGCCTGACCTGGATAGGCTGCAACCGAACGAATAACCCAAAAGAAAAGGTGTTTCCTCCCCTCCCTTCTTCCCCCCTCCCCTCTCTCCCCGCCCTCCCCTCCCTCCCCAAAAATATAAAAAGCAATAAGTTTACAAAAATAGAAAATAATTACAGCAATAGGCAGGAGGGAGGGGAGGAGGAGGGAGGGAGGGAGGGTCTCTGGGGGGGTCTATTTGGCCGAGCAGTGTAATATCCTGGGGTTGTTTAAAGCGTCCTCCACCAGGTGCAGTTCTTGGCGGTCCACGAGGACATCCCGTATGCAGCCAACGAAGCCAGTGCTGTAGGCCTTGGGCAGCTTGTGAGCCACACTCAGCTTCTCCAGCCCCCCTGCAGGAGACACAGAGAGCTCAGGGCACGGGGAAGGGGACACCCAGCCTGTCCCCAGTGCTGTCACACACCCCCACCCTGCACGCACAACCCGGTGCTGCTGGGAATGTCTTGGGGAGGGGGAACTAAGAGGGGGGGATGATTTCTCCCTGGAAAAGCGTTGTTGAACACTGCAAGGGGCTGCCCAGGGAGGTGGTGGAGTTCCCAACCCCCCTGGAGGTGTTCAAGAAACGGCTGGATGTGGTGCTGGTTCCCAGGTGGTGATGGGGCACAAGTTGGACTCGACCTCAGAGGTCTTTTCCAACCTCAGCCATTCCATAAATGTCTTATCAACAGCAGGGAAGACCTCCCAACATCTTTCCTGCCTAACAGTAAATATGAATTAATTAGTCAGTTAAATCAATTGGTTTTACGAAAATAAGTAGGAGTTATTTCCACTTAGATCAGCTCCTCTTTTGGAGGAGCCAGTGGGGCAGCCAAGCAAAAAATTTCTCATGGACAAATCCTGCTTTGCACATGACTTCCAGGCTGATTTCAGAAGGAGAAATGGCCCCCAGGATCCTCTCTTTTCATACATTTTTGAATATGAACTCCTTGGGAGTCAGGTTAGACCTGAACCTACAGGCTTAGACCGGGGAGATAAGAACAGATGCTTCCAAAAAGTGTAAATAGAATCTAAATCCATTGTTCCCTGTCAGGCTGGGGAGGCCCTGGCACAGGCTGCCCAGAGAAGCTGTGGCTGCCCCATCCCTGGGAGTGTCCAAGACCAGGCTGGACGGGGCTTGGAGCAACCTGAGCTAGTGGGAGGTGTCCCTGCCCATGGCAGGGGTTGGAATGGGATGAGCTTTAAGGTCCTTTCCAACCCAAACCATTCTGTGATTCTGTGCTTTAATTCACTGTTTTTTCCAGGCCAGCCTGGACGCTCACCCTGCCCACAACCAACTCACCCAGCCACAGGGCCCCGTCTGTGTCCAGTTGTGTGGCACCAAGTGGAGAAGAACCAGCAATGGGAGCTTCGTTCCCAACCTGGAGGGAACCTTCCCTCTGTACCCTGCTCCCAGAGTGGGGGGAAGAAGGAACAGAAGATGATTAGAGGAAAAACCCAGAGGTGTTCTCTGCTTTGCACCAAACCCTGACACGGGGCACCATCAGCCCTTCTCCAGCTGGAAGGGCAAGGGGAGCTGAGCTCTCCCTGTGGCTGTGGCATGGAGCAGTCCTTGGTCTAGCGCCACAGTGCTCCCCTCCAGCATCCCCATGGCATCCCACAGCCCCACCAGCGGCCACAGCTTCCTCCAGACCCACCAGCAGCAATCCCTGGCACGCCAAGGCACATGATCCTCACCACTCCCACAACCAACAAAAATAACGAGGGACAGCTCGGGCTCAACGCGCCAGAATGTCAAACAGCTCATGTAAAAGGCACAGACCTTCCCAGACCTCCTTGTTCCTGCCCCTCTGACATTTCCAGGCGTGCCCCAACACGCTCCCCTCCACAGGGCACTGCCCACATGCCTCTCCTCTATTATTATCCAAGGGCAGGAGCGATCCTTGGGGATCGCAGGGCGCCGTGACTCAGCTCGCCCGGCCCGGCGCATCCGCCCCGCTCCCGCTTTTCCCTCCCTCCCTCCAGCCTTCCCACCTGTAGGCTTTGATGTGGATCCACTGGTTGGTGTTGACTGGGACCGTGGATCTGAGGACGACTGGCTTGGAGCCCAGGTCGTAGGTCATCTGCACGAAGCCATCCACAATGGCCAGGGCGATGTAGTCCGAGCGCTCCAGCCCCTTCCCGCTCCACAGGATCAGCCCCTGAGTGGCCTCTGTTTTGATGCTCAGCTCGAAGTGGTTGGACTGCAGGGCCTTCTCACTGCGTGGGGAGGTGGGGGCAGAGTTAAAAACAAGGCAGCTCCTTGGAGCAGCCTTCTCTTCCCAGCCTGCTGGGACAACCTCCATCCAACCCCTGGCATCAGGCTACACGTGGGGTCTGTCCCTTCCTGAGGGGTCACAGACTTTGGGATATCAGGATGCCTGGTGCACGGGGTGGGAGCAGATGGGAAGCTCTGAACCAGCCCAGAGGATCAAAGAAATGGCCCTCGAGGTGTCTAACTCAAAGCAGTGGCACACCAGTCTTGCTACCCAAGGCTGGGGACTGGGAGAGGATGAGCAGTTTGAAGGAGAGGGAGGCTGCCCAGAGGCAGCAGAGCCTCCTTTCTCCTAGATGAGGTGCCTTTTCCCAAGGGAGGAATAAAGGAAGGGCGGGATTTCCTCCCCACTGGCATCCCCATCTCTGCTCAGTCCCTTCTGGAACAGGCACAGGGCTCTGAGCTTGCCCTGTGGGGTGGCCACACAACTCCTGGGATGCTGAGACACAGAGACTGGACAGCATGGACAACACAGACAGCTTTTTATTCCCAAGGGACGCTGCACCCAAAGGGCTGGACAAGGCTCTGCACGGAGCCTGATGCACTGCCAAGGTACCTCGCCCTGCTGAGCCCACCCTGCTGCTGCTCCTGGGCTGGAGGGACGGGGCTCCCTCCCTGTTTACTCACCCTCTGAAGAGCTGCATCCCTTACAAATAAAAAGCCAAGGATCTGGGCACACAGGACACACACACACACAGGGGGACAGAGACATGCAGAGGCAGCGACAGCAGAGCACGAGACACGAGAGCACCGAGCTTGGCTCACTCACCTGGGCTCCACGGGATAGTCCAGCGCCTCGGGACTCGGATGGGGGAAGAAAGGGGAGCGTGCCATAAGCAGGGGGCAGCAGAGGAGACCCTTCCCTTCCCTCTCACCCCCTCTGACACACAGGGAACAGCCCTGCTCAGCAGCAGCAGCTCTTCATCCCACACAGAAACCGCCTGGCGCGAGTGGGGAGCGCCAGGAACCGTCCCAGGGATGGAGGAGTCGCCTCCAACACGTTTGGGAGTGGTGGCTTAGCCAGGGGGAGCAGGATAACGCCAAGGAGGGAATGCAGCCCTGTCCTGGTGGTGTGGGGATGCTCCAGTGTGCTCCTGGGGGCTGGAGCACAGGTCTGTGAGGGGTGGTTGAGGGAGCTGGGGGGGCTCAGCCTGGAGAAAAGGAGGCTCAGGAAGGACCTTCGGACTCTCTACAGCTCCTTGACAGGAGGTTGTAGCCAGGTGAGGGTCCCTTCTCCCAGGGAACAAGTGACAGGACAAGAGGAAACAGCTCAAGTTGCACCAGCAGAGGTTTAGTTTAGATATCAGGGAAAATTTCTTCACTGGGAACGTGGTCAAGCATTGGAACAGGCTGCCCAGGGCAGTGGTGGAATCATCACCCCCTGGAAGTGCTCAAAAAACCCGTGTGGATGTGGCACTTGGGGACACTGTTTAGTGGTGCTGGGTTAACAGCTGGATTTAATGGTTTTAGAAGGCTTTTCCAACCTCAGTGATCCCATGATTCCAACCTCAGTGATCCCATGATTCCATGGCTATCAGCGTTCCTGGTACTCAGCCATGCTGCTGGGGTGTGGGTCCCAGGGACACACTGCTGGGGACAGGGAGCTTTGGGACCCTTCCCTGCAGGCAGGTCTCAGGCCTGCAGGAATTCTCTTGGAATCAGCAGAATCCCTCAGGTTGGAAAAGCCCTCTGAGACCATCCAGTCCAACCATTAACCCAGCACTAAACCATGTCACCACCTGCCACACCCACACATTTTTGGAACACTTCCAGGGGTGGTGACTCCACCACTGCCCTGGGCAGCCTGTGCCAATGCCTGGCCACCCTTCCAGTGAAGAAATCTTCCCTACTATCCCACCTAAACCTCCCCTGGCGCAACTCGAGGCCGTGTCCTCTTGTCCCGCCTTTGGGGCGCGCCTGAACGGGCTCCCGTGGAGTGGAACTGTCACACACAGCCTCTGAGTCAGCCCTGGGGCACTTGGAGCACGGGGTGTGCAGGGAGAAGGGGAAATCCAGGAGCCCAGCTGTCCCTCTGGCACTGCCTGCCAGCGCTCAGGGGCTGCAGGTCCCACGTCACGCTCAGCTCGAGCTACACGTGTGTGTGTGTAAAAATGGATGGCCCAGGCCAAAAGGCATGGGCATGTCAGGGCCAGCAGAGCCCAGAGAAGCACTGGCAGCGTTAGCCCTGCCCAGGGCACGCCCCAGTGTCTGCTTGGAGGCACAAAAAAAACCCCAACACCCTGCTCTGATGCGTCCCTCAGCCCGGCAGGGCTGGCGAGTGCGGCAGCTCTCCCTCGCAGGGTGGGGCATGCACGGCCAAAATAGGTTGGTCCAGGCAGGGAGAAGGTTAGGAATGGTGGCTTTGCCCCTTTGCAGAGCACTGGGAGAGGCAGGACACCTTCTGCTCATGGCAGGGTTGTGGCTCTGTGGGTGCAGAGGGACAGCGGGGCACTGGTGCAGGTCACTGCAGGCTCCCTCGCTGCTGCAGGGCACTGCCCAGCTCAGGAGGACACTTGGGATGCTCCTGAAAAGCCCTTTCCAAACCCAGAGCACCTCCCCAAGTGCTGTGAACATGCAGGTGATGGCTCTGTGGCTCCCCAGGTGCTGACACACATGCACACACCAGCTCAGCCTCCCATGCCCCCGCCTGACCCCCGGCTGGTAGAAAATGAGGTGAGATGGGGATGTGGCAGGCAGGAATCTCTCCAGCTCTCCCCCAGACATTGGGGGATACATCTGCATGGAGCAGGGCTCTCATTCCACCCCTGGTGCTCAGCAAGACAGACAGACAGCAAGTCCAGCTGTCAAGGCTGCTCTAGGGAAGAAGCTTCTCCCCATCCAGCTGCCCAGACTCTTCTTCTGACCCCCTGTCCCCACTTGCATCTCTTGAGGGGTTCCCAGGCCACACACTCTGACTGGGGAACATCCTCCCAGTGCCCTGCCTGGCCTCCCCTCTACAGCAGCAATGCCACATCCACGCTGGAAAAACATGTGCAGGATCAGCACCCTGGATTTCCATCAGCTGCTGATGGAACAGTGAGTCACAGGAGCTTTCCTCCTCTATGGCCATCCTTAAACTGTGCTTAAAACTCTGCTGAAGTCCAAAAAAAAAAAAAAATCATGCTTGAAAATGAAACCATGACTGTGGCTACGTTGCAGCACGCTGCAACCAGGAGCTGTGGTCAGTCCCTGAGTCCTCATCCCCCTGAAACGGGAACACCTGCCCGTGGCAGAGCCCGGGAGAGGGCCCAAATTCCTCCCTCTACCCTTCCCTGTGCTCCCCCATGAGTGGGCTGAGGTTGGGGTGGCGATGGGGGCGTGGTGAGGGCAGAGTGGAGCAGGGAGGGCCGTACTTACGCAGGGATCTCATTGCTCAGGTGGCTTGAAAACAAAGAAACAGGGACATTGAGAAAAGGGACAGACAGACAAGAGACTGACAGACAACAGCTCAGCACGGACACCCTCCCAGGCAGGGAGTTTGGAAACAGGGAATCCGGGGGTGTGACAGGCAGGTCGGTGAAGTCTCATCCAACACCCTCTCCCAGTGCCCTGGAGCTGGGAATTAACCACAGGGACACACGCTGGTGAGGAGGGAAGGGCACTGAGCCAGGGCACAGCAGAACCAGAGTGCCCTGAAGGAGAAACATCCAGCCCAGAGGCCGGGCAGGATCTCAGCCAGCAGCTCTGCCCATCCCGAGAGAGAAGCCCCAGGGAGCAGCACAGCCCCGGACACCACGGGGTGCACACCAGCACCTCCAGCCCATGGGGCTGGGCAGAGGCTGGAGAAGGTCCCACAGCAGTGATGGCCCCTCTGTGCTGGCAGAATGTCCCTTGTGGCACAAAACAGGCAGGGACACCAAGGCTCCAGCTCCACCCCACCCCCAAATCAGGCTGTGCTAACCCAGGTTAGCAGAGTGAGAGCAGCCAGGCCTGAACCTGGCCAGGCACTGCTGTTTCGGGGCAAACCCGCTGCCAACAAGGCAGCTTTAGACAGAGGTGAGGCCTGCTCAGAGCCCCAGTTTGGTTTGCTTCCCTTTGGAATTCCTGGATCCCAGCTCTTCCTCCTGCTGTCAGCCCTAACTCCTTGTCCGGAGCTCGGTTCAGCTCGGCAGCCGAGTTACCTCTTGGTGACGGCGTTGTGGTACTCCATGTATGTCCTGCCATCAAAGGCAATGGCCTCTGCATCCCCAGCAGCCTTCTCGATGATCACTGGGGGTGGGAAAGGCAAGAGCTGTCAGGATCCCCCCTTGGAGACCAGGGAAATCCCCCCTTTATGCTGAGCATCCCAAAGAAGATGAAGGCAAGCACCAACTGCCATCCCCTGGGGCCCTGTGGCACTCCAAGCAAGCCCCTGGAGAGGTTTGCTGTGGCTTTAGGGTCTGGAAGTTTGGGACCATCTCCCTGTTCTGCAGCCAACTGTCATCAGCTGTCAGTCAAATCTGCACTGAAATTTCGGCTTAATGGCTTTAAACTTAAAAGAGAGGAGGTTTAGATGAGATATTGGAAAGAAATTCTTGGCTGTGAGGGCGGGGAGGCACCGGCACGGGTTGCCCAGAAAAGCTGTGGCTGCCCCATCCCTGGGAGCGTTCAAGGCCAGGCTGGAGCAACCTGGGCTGATAGAAGGGGGAAGGAGTGGAATTATATGGTTTTTTTAAGGTCCCTTCCAACACAAAACATTCCAGGACTCTACAAAAGGGGACGAGATCCCCAGCCTGGCCCCGGCGCTGCTCCGTCCTGCCGCCACCAGCTCGCCAGGGAAGCAGCTCCGTTGCCAGTCCACATCCAGCCCACCCTGGCACCTCACCTTTCTCACAGTGGGCCCCAGAGAAGCCCCTCTGGCAGGCACACTCGTAGCTCTCCAGCCGGGGGCTGCAGGTGCCCCCGTTCTGGCAGGGGTTGGGTTTCTGGGTGCAGGGGTGGCCCCGGAACGGCGAGATCTCGATGGCGCTGCGGATGTTCTGCTCCTTCAGCACGGGAACCCCCTTGATGGAGATCTGGCAAGAGGAAACACAGGAGTTAGCAGGGAGGTGGGGAGGCCCTGGCACGGGTTGCCCAGAGAAGCTGTGGCTGCCCCAGCCCCTGGGAGTGTCCAAGGCCAGGTTGGAGCCACCTGGGCTAGTGGGAGGTGTCCCTGCCCACAGGGGTGGAATGGGATGGGCTTTTATGTCCTTTCCAACCCAAACCACTCCATGATTCTGTGATGACCCTCCACCACCCCATCCCTGTGCAGTGTGGGGACCGAGGGTAGCGTCCCTGAGGATAAGGGGAGATGGGAACCAGCCCCCAGCCCCACATGTTCCTGTGACACACCTTTGCCTCCCCTCCTGCCACTTTTCCTCCATGTGGGCCCACAGGCTGGGCCAGCCCATTGCCAGGCTCATCCTCCCTCCCCTCCAGCAGGACCAGGGCAGATGGCACATCTCCCAGCTGGACACTGGGCTGCCCAGCAGGACCTTACCCTCTGCACAGCCCCCTCGAAGCTGGTGGAGATGGCAGCTGCTCGAGCCAGCTTGCTGAAATCAGGGGCTCCTCCCACGTAAAACGGCTCCTTCAGGTTCAGGAAGGTGTGAGGCACCTGGGGAGGAGAGGGGAGATGGTGGAGAACGTGTCAGGATATCCCTGGGTGTCCTGTGCAGGCCCAGGAGCTGCACTTGATGAGCCCTGTGGGTCCCTTCCAATTTAGGATATTCTGTGATTCTATGAGAGGGGCCTCCAGGAAACCTCCTCATGCCAAGCTGCGAGGTCCCACCCGCCAGCAGCCACCTGGAAAAGGCTCCCTGTGGGTTTAATTTTTGGGGAGATGCTGTTCTAATGCCCTCAGGCATGGAGAGGGGGGCTCTGTTTTTGCGTGACCCCCCAAAACCAGGTAACCAAATATCGAAGTCTCTCCGGGGTGGGGGGTGATGTTGAAACCCAAACGCATTCCAGAAGGATTCAGCTTGGGTTCATCTGACTGCTACAGGTTCCCATGGCTAGAGGAGGTTCTCCTGCATCCCAGAGGGTGTGTGTTTGGAGGAGAAAGCTCCCTCCTTCCTGTCACCCTGCAGCCCCAACCGCCCAGCCCGGAAAATTCCGGGTGAGTCTTCAACTGCAGGGTTCACCAGGCAGGAATGACATCCCTTCCTGGGCACCTGGGATGGAGCCAGGGGCCCAGCAGAAGATGAGGTTATATGGATCACTAAGCTAATGTTTTGTGGAGTTTAAAAAAAAAAATAAAATTATTAGATTAATTGAAATGCTTTCGAAACGAAATGCAACTCTCTGGGGATGAATGATGGAAGGGGAAACGAGTGGCTCTAAAATCTAAAGAGAACCTAAAGCTGCTTGGTCAGATGGGAAGGGGAGTGGGTGAAACACTGAGATCTGGATGGAGAACGAGGTGCCAATGGCAGATGAGATGGAGGTGGGGTGGTTCATACTTATCTTTACCTTACGGGATTTCTGGGATCCAGAGACAGCAGGGGAGGGAAAAATACAAATGGAAATCAAAGGGAGAGAGAAAAAGAGAGAGAGAAAAAGGGAGATCAGTGGGTGACATTGCAAACATGCAGGGCCACAGGACCCCCGCTGCCAGCAGTGCTGGGGTAGCCAGGGAGGGGAAGGGGGGGCTGCAGGAGGTGACAGGAGGGTCCCTGCCACCCAGGGGTAAGCTGTGCTTGGAGAGAAGCTTGACAAGAGCAGAGCGAGGGGAGGAAGAAATCCATTCTTTTCCAGGGATGCTGTGTAACCCTGATGGCTGCACTCCTAGGTGGATCTTACAGATGGGTTCAGCAGCCATCAGTGCTCTTCCTGCAGTATCAGCTTCCCAGCTGGAAAGGGGGGTAAAAGGAACCCCAGGGTTCTGTAGATAGAAGTGCAGAGGGACAGGGGATGGGGAGAAGTTGGAGGGGGAAGCTGCCAGCTGGGAAACAGAGAGGAGGCACTGCTGGATTCAGCAGCAGCAGTGCCAAGGGGCTTTCCCT